AAAATTTGAGTATTTTTCTATGTTATGTTCATGTTTATGTTCATAAACTTTTTATTTAATAAAATACGTTTTCATAGTTTGTGTTGTCCCTTATTATCAATGCAAAATGGTCACTAACTAAAGAGGATTTATGCTGATATTGCCCAAAAACCCTATTTTGTTCAGGCGTTTCCAAACTTTTGGAGGGCAGTGTATATATCTGGATTTGATTGGATAAATCTGGCTGTCAAGAAGCTCCTACTCTCCCTCTCCCAGAATTACCACATAGAAATGAATGTGACTGTTTTTAACCCATTCGGAAGGTGATCATTACGGTGCCTGTCAAAGGTTCCTAAACACCTGGAGTTCCTTTTATTACGTTTAATCACTATTATTGTCATGGACTAAACCAAAAAAAAAAAAAAAAAGGATGGCAATTAAATAAGGAAGGCTAACTCTGTGGAACTCATTAACTGGTCACTCTCAGATCCTAATGAACTCTAAATGAGTGCTGTATTAAAGACCAGTGAACTTGCAGGGTTAACATGTTAAGCCTATTAGTAAAAGACTGATAGACAGTGCTAGAACTGTAAAACATGAGTATAAGTACCCCCAATACACCAGCACTTCATGAAGTACTTGTTCAGCTCTGATTTTTCACCTGGCATACATAGTCTTTAACCTACGCTTGCTATTTCTGGTTTTGACCTTAGCGTGTTTCATAGTTTCTTGATTTTTGCCTTGTTCTTGGATACTCTATTTTCACATTGCCTGACCCAGACATTGTCTGTCCTGTATTTTTGGTCTTTGCCTTGTGATTTGGATTTGTTTGCTATTGCCAGCTTTTCTTAATAAAATCACACTCTGCAATTGTCGCCATCTCTGCAGCCTGACAGTGCCATAACAAAATGGACATAAGCCTAATCAACCTAATCTATTTCAGTTTCAGCTGCTACACAAATATGTCGTGTATTATAAGTGCCTAATTAGAGTGACAAAGATTTTGGCTTTTTCAGATTAGATTACATCTAGCCTGTTAAAATTTCTCCAAGGCCAACTATCACATCTTTCTGAACTTACACTCATCAAACATGACAGGACAGTGAATATGTTTGGAGGAGAGTGCTAACTAGTTTCTTCTTAGATGTGTGAGCTAACAAATGCCATTTTCCCACCCAAGAGCAAATCCGACTATACTCCCAAGTACAGATTCCTTTGGCAATTGCAAATTCAAATCCTGAATGAAGTTGCGCTGATTGGTAGCATCACACAGGTATTTGAGGGAAAGTGTATAAGGCAGGTAAATAAAACACACTGATACTGACCAACAGACTCTAGGTAGACTCCCTCGTGCGAGTGCTTATAGAGGAAGAAGTGATAGCGTGGTGTGTCTGTTGGGATCCTGCTGCGAAGATCATGCGTCTCTGTGGGCCGAGTGTGCACCAGCTCAATGGTCTCTTTCTCAGTGTCCAACCTCTGACATAGCACACACACACACACACATGTACATACACAAAACACCATTACACGAAATGAAAATGTGTTACAGCAGTGGTGGTGAAATTTCACAAGGGTTTAGCCAGTGTCAGTGCTGGTGTCCGTTTCAGTGCCTAATCTAGAACCAGTCCACAGAAGATGAACCAGTACGTGACAAAAAAAATGGTTCTGTTTCAGCACTTAAATGCTGCTGGTCTGGAAACAAGAACAGATCATTTCATTGCCATAATAACTACTTCACCAACTCAAGTTATTTACATAATCTGCATTTTAATAAGAATCTAAATGATTGATGCATTCAGATAGAATAAATTTGTGCCTTTCATCATGGGAAGGTGGTGAGATACACTCACAACTAACAATTTAGGTAGCTAGAACATAATTGATATTGGAATGATCTTGACCCCCTTTGAACAAAAAGCTTACTTGTAAAACACTTCACAATTGTTATTATGTTTCCACCATGCATTAGGAGACTCCACAATCCGATTAAGTAATTGTATTTCAGGGGTATAGGGTTATGCATAAAGACACTATAACGAGACACTTAACTCCAGTGAATTTCCTCCAAATCAACGCAGCATATCTCATAACTTCTGTGTAGATCAGTGTATTGTCCAGCATGTGACTAGTGCACTGGTTCCCAAACTAGTGGTGACGAATCCCACTTGGGGTTGCTTGATTTGATACAAATAGGTTTGTGAGAGAATCTCCTCTTTTGTTTTATTCAATTATTTTACAAATGAATTACGCTAACTGTGAAGAAGGATTTTATGTGCTACTATTTTGAAATATTATTATGGCAACATTCACACAGTTGGCAAAAATGGCCCAAATCCAGTTTACTGACCAAATCAGATTTTTTTAAATTAGGCTGTTCACACTATGTTTTCAATATGGCCTATATCTGACATTAGTCTGAACAGATCACGTTCCTAAACTGACCCACATGCACAAAGGAACACTGTGTCACGTGACGCTCACTATTAAAAGGACATGTTATTCGGCCACGGCCACTTTCGCGTCCTTGGTTTCTTTAAATTTTGCGTTGAAACTTTTAACTTTGGCACTTTGACACTGCAGCCAGGTTCTCTTATGGCTGCATTTGGCCATTTCTCTTGAAATTTCTTCAAACACGGAGCAGTTGCAATAAGTACCATCTAATTTTGCTTGTACAGCAACATCACCCCAAATGTTTATGAGGTTCGTTATCTCACTATCCTGCCACTGAAATCCTCCTTCACTGTTATCCTCCAGCATTATGATGAATGTCGAGGTGGATTAACTCAAATGTGGCATGAATTCCGATCTGCCTATTCAGATAAGGGTCTCATTGCCATGTATCAGATACGTGTTGGATTTCAGTACCACAAATGAATGGTACTTGGAAAAAATGTGAAAAAATGTCAGATTAGAAAAATGTCAGATTCAGTGTGCTTTTTGTTGTTCACACAGCTATGCGAGTAGCAAATCTGTGCCGCATTTGAAGAAAAAGATCGGATTTCCCTGCTCTGTGAAGGCAGCCTAGGAGTCGCATTCACCAAACCAGATTTAAAGTAAGAGTGTATGTGCTATTTTACATTTCTTTTCGCTATCCTGTCCCGCTGCACTAGCACAGGAGTTCAGCAATAAAACAGAATATAGATTTACAAACACGACTGTAAAGAGTTTTGGCAGAGTTTTGATACACTGCAAAACAGAGTAGCCAGATGTGTCTTTATGTGCACTGAAAATGATGATTCCATTTGCAAGCTCCTCTCTGTATGAGGCCGGATTAAGTGTTCTTGCCTGCATAAAGAAAGGAATAACACACAACAGGCCATCATGGTGTAAGAGGAATAACACACTTTGGGCTGTGCTGCTGCAGGAAAATAATCCACAGTAACTCCACCCTGTATCACACTGTCATTTTATTTCCTTATGTTTTGTTCAAACATAAGAATGTTTGGATTTGACTTCAGAAATGATTCAGACACACCTTCTGACTCTTGTTAAGAAAAGATGTGTGAAGAAATGCAAGCTCACCCTTCCCACTAGACTGGTAAGTAAATTCATATCCTTTCATATCAAATTCATGTCCATTTGGAGTCATTTGCCCAAATGTTTGGGAGCCTCTGGACTAGTGTATGTGAAGATAGATATGCAGGACGTGTGTATTGCTGTGCCTGTGTGTTGCAGTCTCACCAGCTGGATGTAGTTAATGTGTTTCTTAGCGAGTTGCTGTAAAGCGTGTTTAGCCTCTGGCTGTAGCGGAAAGGCCAGGCCCTGTAAGGTCTGAGGCTTAGTTTCCACACTCAGCTCTGTAATAACCTGCAGAGGAACACACACACACACACACACACAAGCACAGCATGGAGGCAGTATGTGAGAATCATTCATCCCCACTGATCTCTAATGATGGCATGACCGCTGGAAGAATGCTGTACTATATGTAGGAACATTCCTGTGTTTATGAATGTATGCATGACTTTTTGCACAGTATTTACACTCAGAGTGCACTTTATTTGCAGGACAGAACAAGGATACCAGCATGCATCAGAATATTAGAAAAGCAAGCATGGCAGCATCAGCAAACCCGTGCAAACATTTCACCAGTTGCATCAGTGGTCTTGATTAAACCATGCTTTGGTATAAAGTTCCCTTTTGCAAGCAAATAAAATATAATATGTTGTTCCTCTTTCGGCTGCTCCCGTTAGGGGTCACCACAGCCGATCACTGGTCCGGATATTTGATTTGGCACAGTTTTTACACTGGATGCCCTTCCTGATGCAACCAATTTTATCCAGGCTTGGGACCGGCACTGACAGCACACTGCTGCACGCAGCACCAGTAGCTGAGGTCAGCTCCCTGACTGGGAATCGAACCCAGGCTGCAGCAGCGAGAGAGCTGTGGCCTAACCACCAGGCCTCCAGGGCCAATTCATATATAATATAAATATGTTTATTTGATTTCGAATACAGTCCCCACCAATCATATTGGCATATCACACGTCAAACATATGTTAAAGCTGAAAAGCGATTAATAAGTTGATGGATTGTCCTTTAAATAAAGTGTTTAATGAAAACACATTTAACAGGTGTATATGCCATGCACACACTGCCTTGTCTTTCACACCAGAAAGTGCACAGTGAACTGAACACACACCACTAAAGCCTGGTCAGGACTGTACAGCTACTCACCTGCTTAACTTTGCACTGGAATAATCAAATTAAAAACATTACAATAAAAATGTTCTTATTAGTTTAAGTGTAATAAAGTCTAAAGAAATGCCGTGAACAAATGCATTGTTATTATTTCAACAAGCTTCAATAATGCGTGGATTCATTTAAAACTCGAGACTTCTCACCTCTGTGGTTTTGATCCTCTGCAGCTCCTGCTCAGCATGTGTGAGAGGAGCAGGAGCGGAGATTGATGATACATGACGAAGGTAACCCTGAAGACAAATATCCTCCTAATGGTGATGGAAACACAAACCACACTCATGTCAAAGCCTTATTCAGCTCTGATACTGATGGACCACATATCATGTGCCTACTCCAACTTTGCAGAACTGAGGATGGCTCTTATAAACTATTGGGGTCCAAACGTCAGAGGCTACACTGAAAATCTGGGATTTGTTTTTTGTTTTTTTTTCATTTAAACCAGAAAGTTTCAGAATTTAGATTTTTTCAATATCAAGAATAATTAAGATTCTTCACTATTTCTAGGTCACTATCTAACGTTAAGCAAATGTCTGATATTGACCATGTTAACTCCTTTGTGCTAAGGGTCAGCTTTTCCTTGTCTTATCTCTTCCATTGAAGCACATGTTCAAACAAGACTCCAGTGAATATGATCTAACACGGATCATCGGGTTTTACACAAACTTGTGGAGTCTCGAGTGCACGCTGTCATTAAACTAAAAAGAAGACATACCAAATACTAAGAAATTTTAAAATTCATGAACATATTTCCAAGATTCTACTTTTCACTCAGGTTATTGGGGAAGTGGTAGCTCAGTGGTTAAGACATTGGACTCCTGATCGCGAAGGTTGAGAGTTCAAGTCCCCCCACCGCCCAGCTGCCACTGCTGGGCCCTTGAGCAAGGCCCTTAACCCTCAACTGCTTAGTTGTATAAATGAGATAATTGTAAGTCGCTCTGGATAAGGGCGTCTGCCAAATGCCATAAATGTAAATGTTATTGCTGGTAATAATTTGTCGTAAAAAAAATTGTATCAAATAAGAAAAGACCCCCCCTGTCTTTGTTTATATAGATCTTTTTCCACTCTCAGTGTTAAATTACAACCTCTTGAAAAGTGAAAAGAAATCAGAAACATTTTAGGAAATAAATAGGAATAAAAAACCTTACAAAAAACTGGTTGCATAAGTGTGCAAACCCTCTTATAATTGGGGATGTGGCTGTGTTTTCTGAATGAGCCAATCACATTCAGTTTCATGTTGAAAAGTAATTATCATATAGCTGTCATCAGTGAAATTATTCTGATTAACCCCAAATAAAGACCAGCTGTTTCTGTAGGCTTTTCTTCACATCTTCTTGGTTTCATCTGACTGCTGAAGCCATGGTCTGCAAAGAGCTTACAAAGCATGCATGGTATCTCACTTGTAGAAAGGTATCGATCAGGAGAGGGGTATAAATGAATTTCCAGAACATAAGATGTACCATGGAACACCGTAAAGGTCATCATCAATTCCAAACCTTTTCCAGCAAGGCAATGCCCCTGTGCACGAAGTGAGCTCCATAAAGACATGGTTTTTCAAGGCTGGTGTGGTAGAACTTGAGTGACCTGCACAGAGCCCTGACCTTAGCCCCACTGAACAGCTTTGGGATAAACTGGAACGCTGACTGCTCCCCAGGCCTCCTCACCTGACATCAGTGCCTGACATCATTAAATCTCTTGTGGCTGAATGAGCACAAATCCCCACAACCATGTTCGAAAATCTAGTGGAAAGCCTTCCCGGAAGAGTGCAGGTTATTACAACATCAAAGGGGGACTAAATCTGGAATGGGATGTTTAACAAGCATATGTGGACGTGATGGTCAGGTGTCCACATATAGCACTTTTGGCCATAAAGTATAGATCTTGAGAAGCTTAACTTGTGGCCTCAGTATATTAATTTGTGGCCACACCTTATTAGTCATAACTGCCCTGTCACCTCAGTGGCTCTGTACTCCGTGTACATAATGAAATAACGTAGAGGACATACCACCACATTGCCAAAGAGCTCATCTTTTACGTGCCCTCCACCAAATTCTTTCTTCACTGTTGCACGAGTGGCAGCATACAGCATCTTCTGTCTGGTCTAAAGTGAGGTTCAAACATAATGACAAATACAGTGTTCACTAATGAGATCAAAACTGTCTTCACTGAACAGTAGCGTGATATATTCACGCATATATCTTCATATATGTGAAATAAATAAATGTATATTACATACTGGAGACTGGTCAGGTGACCAAGAAAGAAAGATCCACTCATATCCCAGTGCATTGTGGGAGTCAAGGCGATACAGGATGTAGCAAGGCTCCTGGGGATCAAGTAGAGGAAGCAGGAAGTGGTCATAATCTTTCTCCCAGGACTGAGATGGCTCACGGTATGCACCCAGAACCAACTGCTCTGAAACAGAAAGATAAAAACTCATATCATACACCTGGTGCAATAAAACCACATACACACACACACACACACACACACACACACACACACAAACACACATTATAAATATATATATATATTTATAATTTGTGTGTGTGTGTGTGTGTGTGTGTGGTTTTATTATAGGAACACATGGGGAAAAAACAACTACATTACAGCCAAAGTAGGATTTAATAAATAGTGTAAAGTGATTTCATAATCTCTCAATTTGTCTCTTTACTGCTTGAATTCAAGATCTTTTATGTATGCTTTAGTGGGACCACATATTTAAAATTATTTTAATATCTCAAATTATTTTTGGTCCCATAAAATAGGGGAATTGTGTATACAATTTACAATATAAAAGAATTATAGAATATGATTTAGAATTATTTAATTAATGATGTTAGAATATGATTTTTGTTTTAAAGCAACTATACTGTTTTGCCTGAAAGCATCATTTGATCTCTGTAAGTTTGCAATATTTACCATTAGCTAGAATCAAACTTTCTGTCTAGCCAGTTATGCTAGCTACTGGTATCAATGCTAGTCTAACCTGGCATTAACAAAGAAAACAGCGTAAATTAGTTAAATATAGGTAGTTAATGTTCAGTGAAATCAGTGAAAATAACTTCAACATGCTTTTTAGGGAGTCAAAGAAGAAACCTTGTTTTATACGAGTATTTGCTTACTCCAGCATATTGAAACATGTTACTGATGTAGGGCCGGGGTGCGCATCCTCAAGTTTCACACTGCAGTATGGTGGCTTATGCATGTTTAAATGCACTCAGATTGCTATAGCTCTAACTACATTGTTTATGAGAAGGTCATGGCCAATGACCTGCTCATACACAATCGATGACATTGATGACAATATCACTGAACCTGATTGAATGCTAAACTGAAATGATTAGAGCCCATTCTAATGATGTATAGTGTACAGTCAAGAGACCTTCAAGGAGTAAAGTATGTTTTTCTTCTTGATAATGTAATTAAGTAAGTGTACATATATTCAATTTCAGCAATACTCAAGTAAATTATAAATATACTATAAATAATACTTAAATACGGTAACAAAGAACAATTACTCATGTATTTTCCATCCTTGGTGTAAAGACCTCATAACGCAAAGCATCTGAAAATTGCATAGCCTGATTGGGAGAATTTGCACTTGCACTAAAATAACCAGAGATTAAGGACGCTGTCAGAGAGCTGTTATAGCATGTCAATAAGTACTCATGTCGTATGCACACATAGACAGCAGTATGACCTTGGTGGGGGATTTCCTGAATGTCTCTTGCAGCAAATTCTATTCTAAGCCTGCACACATTCCAATTATCGGTACAGATGCATACTTTCCATCAGTCATTCACTTACCCATGAGCACATGCTGGCACCCACGCATCTATAAAGTCATCCACACACCCATCTCCTACATTAATCATTTAGAATAAGCCTGCTGTGTCATAAATACACACACACACAAACACAAAGTGCTGAAAGATCCTGGCATTCTTTCTGCTTTATGTCACAAGTTAGCAAAGCCCTATACTACGGACGCCAAACAACAGCGTACTCTGTTTCCTACGTCGTTGCCAATCAGACACCAGCTACACATATGACTCAAGAGCTCAGCGAATCGTAAGCGTTGTGACTGTTTTGGTCTAAATCTCCTACTGAATCACCCTGAAACTATCTGCCACCAAATGGCAGTCCAATAAATGACACACACTGAACAAGTGACAGAAAAAAAAAGGCCCAGACAACACACACAAAACGCAAAAAAATCCAACCATGCACATCTCACATCAAACTCTCAAACACAGTCCCATGGTGTGTCAAAGGGACAGGGGAGAGACGGCGTGTTCCAACTCGTACTTGTTTGAAGACGGGACAATACGGCAAGCACGCGAGTCTGATAAGACCTCCTGCATTTCATTGCCTAGTTATCTGATCATTCTGAATAAATTGTCTATCATGGTGTTCAAGCAACATGATAGTGGCCTATGATATATAATCGGTCCAGTAGATGTGCAGGACACAACACTGATACCATACAACGTATGAGATACACAGAATGACACGCAGTAGAAAAGTCTGACACATGGCATTCAGTCAGAAAGACATTTTATCCTCTTATACTCTACTTGATTGGCACTTCACCTGCATGCAAGCGTGCACACACACACACACACATACACACAGAGAGAGAGAGAGAGAGACAGAAAGGTCCTCTGGTGTCAGACATTTGCATTCTTAATTCATGTAATAGGCAATATTAC